TTACAAACGGATACCGAGTTCTTACATCACAGTTACGCTTCGATGATAAAGAAATTTAAATGAAAAAAAAAAATGGTTGACATTTTTTCGTTTGACTTTGCTTGGGATATACGTTTCTGTTCTTGTTTTGGTGAAATGTAATGACGTCACGAATTTGTTAAAAACACGAACACTCTTAAGGTGGTCGCGACTGTGACAACACGCGACTCTCTGCGCATTTTTTAAGGATTGTGAGTGCCAATTTTGTACAACGATTTTGACTTGTTTCGTAATGGTGAGTAGAGGGTTCCGGAATAGTTCACATAAAGTTTTTCAAGTGCAATTCTCAATAAGATCATTCGCATAGATGAATCTTGCATTCAATTTTGGAACTGAAGGCCCATCTCATACATTGCGGAACATACTTCTGACAATTACAAACGGAATATGGGGAATCTGGTAGAACTCTATGTATTAATCGCTGAAGAAGGTCTGAAGTGGACCGAAACGTACGACTTATGTAAGAAGATGTAATTTAAGTTATAGAATACATCTCTACTTGAATCTTTAACGCAACGATTTCTGCGTATTGACTCTTAGTGCCTTTTTGTCACCCATTATTATTCTATGTTGAAGAGTCTGATAATTTACTATTAATTTAATTACGCGTTACTCCGCCGTGCTTCGAGTTTTTGGGGCCTTAAGACTATTCGTTGGTAAACGCAATCTTCTTGTGGTCCGTCCTTATAGCAGGAGATGTGATTGATCACCCTCTAAAGGAATCTTCTTAGATTTATGATCTTTTTAAAATTATAAACAGAAAGCCATGTTGCCAATTATAAGTGTGGTGCTGAATAACAAGGAGCGACAACAAGGAGCCCAATTTCTAATACAAGGAGCAGAAATACGATTTCTTTTTTTACGACTTTTAAATGTTATGTCGACATCTGTTTTTCATTATTATAAAGTACGATTCTTCAGCTAGTATCAAATAACATTGCTCCTCGTAGTTGTTGCTACGCGTTATATTTGTTAGTTTATTTATTTTCAATTATTCATTTCCTTTAGGGCTTTATCGCTTCCAACCACGCATTTCTAACGTTTGACGTTTTTTTCTTGGTGACATTTATGAGGGTTTTAACGAAAAAAATGTTTTTTTTGTTCAAATTCTTTCTTGACTGTTTTTGTATATTTTAATTGCTGGCTGATATTCCTATTCACACCTGATAAATGTTTTCTCAAATGGCGACGCAATCTAGGCCTCCGTGAAAGAAAACAATCGTGGAGTCCACAGGATGTAATACTATGATCTGCATAATGGTTAAATTGATAACGTTTGGCCGAATGAAGAATTTCAAGTTAGGATCCTAGGTTGGGTAATATTTTTCAAAATAAATTCAGTTTCGAACGAAAACGAGAGAGGAGCCACAAGCCCTCAATCTCATGTAAATCCGGACTTATGCGCGCACAAACGATTTTCGACGTTCCGCGAGCTCATACAAAGGTGACGTGCAGGCGTGATCAACCGGTGACATTCCAGTGGAGCGCGAAGGCAAATTCGCTTGAAAACTCCGATGAGCAACAATGTCTCTCTCTGCTCCGATCTTGGAGTTCGCGATCGTGCAACATAGCTCTCATTCAGATCTCGAGCATAAAAGATCTCCGCTATCGTTCAAAGAATATTTTTGGAGTCTATTCGCGGATTCTGTTCATGAGAATCCAGTTGCGGTGCATGCCTGTTGGTGCAGCCATTTACTCCGATCACGATCGGAGTACGTGCGTGGGTTAGCGCAATTTCGTGCGTGAAGAGACTCTCGGTCGAATCGCGCTCTGGGAGCCTGCCCCGGATCTCGCAGAAAGCAAAAGTGGTGTAATCCAAGACTTAACGAGAATTGTTTACTGATTGTAAATAAATAGTGGAAAATTCAAGTGTGGCCAGTGCACTCCTTCCGTGGCATCTCCACACTCTCTTTGAGCGTTCTCGGCTGCAATCGCGCATGCGCATCAGCCTTGCGCAGAACATTTTGGTCCTTCGAACCGGATCGGAGTGCCATCATAGAAAAGCTTGGAGCACAGAGTCGATTTCCCACTGACGATTTCACGCCACTCTGGTCATCATGAGCGAAGTATACGAAAAGCAGCAAACGCTGCTTCATTCAATCGAGCGAGTTCTTGATAACTTTAAGAAAATTGGCAAGTTAAATTATTCTCCTGTCAAAATTCGATCCCGCATCTCAGCCTTCAAAGGTCGAACCCTCGAATGCATTGAATGTATACCGATAACTAGTAATAATTTTAAACTTGCATGGAAGACTCTCTTAGATTGATACAACAAACGTCGATTAGTCGAAGTTCACGTCTCATCGTTGAACAATTTACCGACAGTCTCGTGAGAATCCGCGGGTGATCTGCACACCTTACGCGACAAGGCCATAAGGCTATCGCGGCACTCAAAGGTTTAAAGCGCTCAGGTGAAGAAATATTAAGCGACATGTTAGTTTATAGAGCAACGTCTTAATCCGATTACGCGAAAAGCGTGAAAATTGAAATCAGGAGACGAAGCGCGTCTTCCCACGTTTGACGATCTCGATAAATTTCTCGCGTCGTGCGCTCGAGTTCTCGAAGATCTCACGCTCTCCGGATCTTTCAAATCTGTACGAAATCTGCGAAAATTACCAGCGCAATGGCCTGTCTCAAATGCGGCGGCCTTCCCTTTATGTAAAGCACATCATTTCGTAAATAACTGTCCGAAATTTCTGAGCAAAAGCTCAAGTCGACGACGTGAAATAATTAAAAAATAAAAACGCTGTTTCAATTGTTAGAGTATCAAATATTCCATTCACGACTGTCCAAGTAAATATAAGTGTTGTGTATGAACACACTTGGTCCTCGACCAGTCAGGATTGAGGATAGCGATTGTGCTCTTCTTTTAATTTGGTAATCTGTGGCTACCGTTTTTCCCTATTTTATTACTTTTATCGTCCTACAATAAAGATCAGTAATTTGATATCTGAAGTATTTAGTCGTCTTCCCACGTTCCTCCTAAGTAAAACCAAGTTCCCTAATTCGTCAGTAAATACCAAAATATTAGGTGCGCAACTAAGTTCTCGCTGTTTGTCAATAGATAGCTCCAGCAATAAGTGCTGGTCGATTTTTACATGTTCAAAACGTCATGAACCAAGCTTAGACATATAATAAACAAATCGTTTTGA